TACTTAAAATAAAATGCGGAGTTCCCCAAGGTTCCATTCTAGCTCCCCTACTCTTCTTGCTATACATCAATGATCTTCCAAAAGTCTCAAAAAAACTTGATGCCATAATGTTTGCAGATGATACAAACTTATTTTATTCATCTACTTCTATCGCAGAACTCTTCGAAACTGCAGGTATTGAACTTGAAAAACTTAATACTTGGTTTAAATCAAACAAATTATCATTGAATACAGAAAAAACCAACTACATTCTATTTCACACCAATCAAAGGAAAAAATCTATACCAATTCCATTACCGTCTCTAAAAATAGAAAATAAATTTATCGAAAGAACCAAAGCAACAAAATTTTTAGGAATACTTATCGATGAGAATATTTCATGGAAAGCTCATATAAACTTATTAAATACCAAAATAAGAAACAACATTTGCATGCTTTACAAAGCTAGACCCATGCTACCCCAAAAAAATTTAAAGCTACTTTATTTCTCCTTCATTCAAACCTATTATACGTATGGTAATATAGCATGGGCAAGTACCCATAGATCCAACCTAGTGGCACTTTATCGACATCAAAAACATGCTGCAAGAATAGTATTTAATAAAGATAAATTTACTCATGCCGAACCTTTGCTAAAGCTTCTAAATGCACTAAATGTCTACAAAATTAACATTTACCAAAATTTGATATTCATGCTCAAATATAAACTCGGACTTGTCCCATTACATTTTTCAGAAGAATTTTTTAAATGCAATAGAAATAAATATGAAACTCGAGGAATAGGAAATTTTAAAGTACCATATAAAAAAACAAAACTATCACGTTTCTCCATCTCCTATCGCGGCCCTTACCTCTACAACAAACTAATAGCTAAAAATACTATAATTACAAAACTACTTAACCATAATTCTCTGAAAACACTTTTAAAAAAACTTGTTCTAAACTTAAACAATTTTACAAACGTATATTAAAACAAATAACTAAAAACCCCTAAAAAATCCACTTTAAAGCAAAGTAAATGTTAGATTTTATTTATATTTCGTACATGTCAATATACTAAGTATAACAAACCATGTAACTATATATTTATGTGTATCAAATACAGCTCTTTTCCGTTTTTTGTTTTTGATTATCTAGTAGCTTTTTATGTGTGACTCTTATGCCACCATAAGACTTTGACAAACTGAAATTTCTTAATAAATTAAGTATACAAAGTATCGCAACTAAAAGCGGTTTCTTGATGACAAGACCAAAATGGTCTTCTGCAAGTTTCCCGCGTCTTTTAACAGTGTTACTTTTTTATATATATTATTATTTGTATTAAAAAAAGTTTTCTTATTATATGTACGGTATTTTTTTTATACAATGTAAACGAACTAGTTTATATTTATGATCACGTATTTGTAAAGCTTTGATAAAAGACAAAAAAAAAAAAAAAAAAAAAAAAAAAAAAAAAAGAGACCACCTGACTGCCCATCACCAGGTATCATAGGCAACCTAATAGAAGAAATACTATCAAACAGTACTTTCTCCTTTGGTGACAAACACTACCATCAACTGACAGGTACATCAATGGGCACACGGGTTGCGCCATGCTATGCGAACTTATTTATGGGAAGGCTTGACGAACAAATCACCAACCAATTTCCGAACCACATTACTTTCTACAGAAGATTCATCGACGACATATTCTTCATTTTTCAAGGACCCATAGAAGTGTTAGATCAGATCTGCAACTACATGAACACCATCCATCCAACAATCAAATTCACTTTCAACCACTCAGCAACATCAATAAACTTTCTAGACATACTACTGTACAAAAATGAACAAGATAACATTCTCACGACCATCTATCGAAAACCAACTGACACAATGGGACTACTTCACTATGACTCACATCATCCCACACACACCATTCCGGGCATCATATACAGCCAAGCTCTCAGATACCGCACTATCATTACAGAACTTAACAACCTACAAAAAGAACTTAAATACTTAACTATGACACTAGTACTAAGAGACTATCCTCTGCGCATCATCATCAATAACATTAAGAAAGCGCTTCATAAAACGCAACATGAACTTATCAACAACAGGCGCGCGCAGGAAAATACAGAAAGACTAACAATAGTTACTCCATATACTCCCATTGGACAACAAATCAACAGCATCATTCTTAACAACTGGAACATAATTGACCCTAACTTACAACTACAGGACATATTTCGACACAAACCACTATCAGTACATACAAACTTAAAATCTATTAAAGATATACTAATACACACTAAACACCAACAATAACAACTGCACAAAAGAATATTAGCTTTTATTGCAACCCATCTATCGACAACATCATCCAAATAGAAACTCAAAACTTCTTAAAAACTTAAATTTCCGGTTCATCAAGACCAAGGCCTGTCGACTCTTTCGTTTTTACATACTTAAGAGTGTAATCGTATGCGCAAAGCATTCTGGGATGTCCTGGTAGTATAGAAATAAGTTCACAACAACAAACTTAGCTGAAACTCTGCAAAGTTTTCTGTTTTATATTGCGTTATTCTTTAATAAATAATACTCTTCGTTGTTCAGAAATGCCTTCATACTGTGCTGCAACCAACTGCGCAAATACAAGTGGAATTGCTAATGAAAATTATCAAGTTATTTCAATGATTAACTCACTACTCAAATATAAAAGTTGTATTTTGTTCTTATTTCTACTGGTGCAAGATGAGATCTGGATGGAAAACTTATTGAAGTTCTAAATAATGATTATTGTTTGTGCATCAATCATTTTGAAAGTTCAGTTTTTATTTAACAAACACTGAGGGAAAATGTCTTCTCCATAATGTCATTTCTACAGTATTTATGTTCTAAATATAGTCTCATGGCATCACATTCTGACGTTGTATAAAATAGACGAAGACGTAAATGCGTTTCTATCCATCATGCACCAAAATTTTTGGAGCATTTTTTGTATTAATTATTACTGTCAACTGTTATACTGACTTCTTATTGACCAACTAATTTATTGATAAAAATAATACTCTTTTTAATCTAATTAATTCAAAGAAATCTCATGCTGATAAACCTGCTCGATTTAATGTAACAACAAAGGAAAATAACATGTTACTGTTTGGGGTATCTCAACTTCGGATTAAGAAATGAATGTTTTGTGTTTTAAAGGCTCTGCATCATAAGAGAATAAATGTTACAAAAACTAGCATACTGAAATTATGTAAGGAGCTTCGAAAAAAAGTTTAGTTTTTAACTCGAAAAAAAGTTTAGCTGTATATTCTCATCTCACTTCAAGCAAAATTATTCAAAAAGTTTGATGAAAACTATTCAGAGCAAAGAAGGTTGAAATGATAGACATTCGAACAATTTGGATAAGCTTAACTGAATGTTTAGTTGTTGTTGTCATTAGAAACTAGCAGTTTTAAAAACGATTGTCTTAAAGAAATAGATTTTAGCGTTGTACTGCATATAAATGCTTTATTTAAATATTTACTCTAAAAAAACTAAATAAACAATATCTATTTTTTGCTGACAAAATATCAATTCAACAGGTTTACTGTTCAATTCTTGGAAAGAAAACTATTGTACAATGCATGCAGACTTTTCTAGCTTGTTAAAAAAGGTGTCTGACTGTGTCAACAGTGTGTGGTAATACTTTGTGATGAAACGATGGATATTAGGCATGGTTCAGAGACCAATACAAACTGAGACAAACCGCCAAAATTATTTACCAAAATCTTTATTTATATCATTGATTTGTTATATTCTATTTAACATTATTCATGGAATTTATTGAAAAGTGACTTCATACTAAAAACCTAGCTTTTTTATGTTATTTAAGATCATGGAATTCTGTACTTTTAACATTTTATAAAGATTTATAAAGATTTATAAAGATTTTTTAAAGATTTTTTTAACATGCATTTTTACTTACAATAAAAAGAATTTGCATATTTGTCAGAACAAGAATTTTTTGCTTTTATTTGGCTGGACATGAAAATAATTAAAAAATTTTAATATTGATAATTATTAAATAATGCCTTTATGTTTTTCTTTTAACAATCAGTTTTGATTTTATGAGTTAATCTGTGTGTGTATATACATACATACACACACACACATACATACATACATACATACATACATACATACATACATACATACATACATACATACATACATACATACATACATACATACATACGTACATACAAGGCTAGGTGTACATACTGATTCAAATTCGCATATGTATGTATGTATACATACATACATGCATACATACATTATGCATGATTGTATGTATGTGTGTATGTATGTATGTATGTATGTATGTATGTATGTATGTATGTATGTATGTATGTATGTATGTATGTATGTATGTATGTATGTATGTATGTATGTATGTATGTATGTATGTATGTATAAATATATGTAAATACATACATACATTTATACATATATACATGTGTGTGTGTTTAAACTTGAATTGATAATGATAATTTGCTGTGTAATTATTGCATTGTAACTTATTTTATCAAGTTTCATTTAAAGATTTTCAAATTGGCTTATTATTATGACCCGATAAGCTTTATTAAGACATGATATACTTAATATTACACTGTATTATTGCTGCTTTTTTGAAAAATGTTTTATGAGAAACCTATTATTCTAATCAGAAGTTTTTTAGAATTATGTCAAATTAGTATAAAAAAAAAAGAATAATTCTATAAATAGTTTACAAAATAAATTAAGAGTAATCAATTACTGACAGCATTTGGGTATTGAAAACAACGTATTTATTTGTTTTTAAATGTTATACTACCAGGGCATCCCACATTCCTCTGTAAACAAATTACATGCTTTTTACGCGAGTCGACAGCGCTTGATCAAGACTCTACTAACTAACGCAAATTTATCATCGGCATTTTTGGCCTCGCTCTCCTCAGTCTCTTATTCAGGATAAAAGCCATTTCTAAAACCGCATGCTATTCTGTTTGAACTCTGATACAGAGCGGTGAGTTTAAAATTCAATTTATTTACATTCTCTGGATATTTAGGCGGATTAAGATTCTTATCAATCTTGACATCTCCTGTATATCTTTGTTTATTTATAATTCTAAATTTAACTTTTATAACAACGACGAGTTAATGTTCATCATCAAGAACATCTTACATCTTCGTCACGATTTAAACCCAAAAGATAATATTTACTTTCAGAATGGTAAGCAAACATGTTTTTGTTACTTAACTTTCTTTTATTCTATTCACAATTATATCTATAGATAAAATTTATGTACCATTATTTATTTATAAGGGGACAAATGTCTTTTCTTAATTAGCTAAATGCTACTAAGTTTTTAACTGTAGTAAAAGTTTATAAGTATGTACCAATATGACTATCACTTTATGTTGTATGTCTATAGTACAGAATAAATGTCATAAGATATCTGTGTGAATGTTTACATTAACATTCCTAAACAGATACACAAAAACCCTGGTCAATATTGACCAAGAAAATAACATATTAAGTTTAAGACATACCACACCATTATAAAATTCTGAGCACGTGCTTTATTTTAGCATAGTAGCGTCCACAGGGTGCCAGACCTTCAAAACTCCTTGATGACAACAAATGGTCCTCATGAAAATGTGATCTTGACACTACATGGGTAATTGGATATTAAAACACCTATATTTTGATCATCTACACTTCAATACACTTACGCTTATCATTCTAATAATCATACTGATACTTCTAGAAGCTATATTTGCTGATTTATGTCTATAAGGCTATACTTTACTAAGATTAGATCATTAAAACATTACTCCAACACCTATTCAACACAAAAAAATGTGTGAAATAGCTATTGTAATGTATATAATACATATAAATGATTTAGAGATACTTATGAGAATATAGGTATATATAATCATAAGGGTGTATGTATGTATGTATATTATATATATATATATATATATATATATATATATATATATATATATATATATATATATATATAAGTGTGTGTGTGTAAGCGTACGCATGTGTAAATACATACATATTCATATGTGTTTGCATTAATACACATATAATCTTGTTTATCAGTGTGTGTGTGTGTGTGTATTTACATGTGTGCTATAATGTATTTATAGGGGTATTTGTTTTTTCTTCAATGTATTTGCATTTGTATATGTATTTGTATATATGCTTTAATATGATACTACTAGAATCATACATATTTAATATACAACTCCAGCTAACCATAACCATAACAACTACTAACTACTACTGTCACCGTACACACTCTCAAATTTTGACTATCATGTACAATCTACTTTAACACTCCTGTCAGGGTTATTATAATAATAGCCTTACCATCTGATATCTACTTAAAAAACGAATAATTCTACTCCAGCTCTCTTCCATACAACATCTGATAACTACTAAAAAAAAGGAATAACTCTACACCAGCTCTATGATATATGATAACTATTCAAAAACGATTAATTCTACTTCAGCTCTCTTTCATACACCATATGATAACTACTTAAAAAACGAATAATTCTACTTGAGCTCTCTTCAATACACCATTTGGCAACTACTTAAAAAACGAATAACTCTACTCCAGCTCTGTTACATACATTATCTGACAACTACTTAAAAAAGAAATAACTCGTCTCCATCTCTGCTGCATACATTATCTGATAACCTAAGACACAAGTAACTATTAATATTATTAAGCAAAAACAAGCCATGATTTTCATAAAACGAATAATTCTACTTTATTTTAAATATTTCTCATAACATTACAGTCATGTGACTTATGTACTGTGATTCTTTTTTCTTACACAAAATACCAAACACTTTTTCAAAACCTCATATTAACCAGTTAAACTACAAAACTCCATATAATTATTATGAATTAGTAGTAATTTTTATATATAGATTTTTTTTTTTAAATTTACACATTAGTTTTTGTTGTTATATTAATGTAATTCTAGTTAAATATTTTAGATCATCTAGTTGTAATAGGTAATTTATTCTCCAGAAACACGTCATAAGACTACTACAAATCAGGCCTAGCTGACGTTACACCAACTTAAAGGACCTTTTAGCTATTTTTTATACTTATAACTCTTGCTATTGAGGCATGCTACTACAATAGTTTTACACGTTAAACACAATATCTATTTACAATACACATACCTTAATGAACTCAAAACAATTCACAACTCTTATTGACCTATGCTACACTTTGAAAAAACACTGCACCTAATAGACATTCATGTCAAAAAACTACTTACTACTGTTTGCAAGTTGAACTAAACCCCGCTAAGTGTCCTCTGGTCTCAGTGTCAATTCAGGAGTCTATGGCAATCTTCCTGACTGGATACTCTGAGAATAGTCCTTTTAAGATAACACAATGGGATACCTTTAAAAAGATACCCTGGTGTAGACCCAGAGTGGAACTTCTTTTGGGATACCAGTTGCGGTTGAAAGCTGGAGGTCTTTATGCGTTCACACTGCACCATAGGGCGCGAGTTCATACTGTACTCGAGACGTTCATGACACTTACATCTGTAATGAATGTTTATCACCCTTAGAATACAAACCACATGGTGACTACTTATAAAACGAATAATTCTACTCCATTACCAATTCTATCTACAAATCACATTTACGCTGGACTCTAAAAACAAATTAGTAGCACAACAACTAATGACTTTTCTTGACTGTTGTTTATTATTCTTATTTACTTTTTACTACACTTTACTCACATCAGTTTTTAATATTTTTCCACTTTGAGGCTCGTTGTTTTCCTCTAGACATCTGTCCTTTTGTACTTTTATCTCACTCGGCTAAACTCTTTTTAACTTATTATTCATCCCTAAGGCGTACACTGCTCAGTGCAGCTTTACTAAAATGCATTGCATTTACAAAAAGTGTATATATATATATATATATATATATATATATATATATATATATATATATATATATATATATATATATAGGGTAAAGTAGGGTAATTTCGGCAGGGAGATAATTTCGGCACCACTTCAAAAGACACCTAAAAATATTTATTTAATGAAATATCAAAACTATAATTGAGTATTATAGAAAGATAAACAGTTTTTCTAAAAATATTAGTTTAAACTTCTATTTTTACATTATAGGTACGTTATTTTATGATTATTAGGTTTTTCTTAACATTTTTTCCTTTTTGAAAATAGAGGATAAATGATTTTTTTCCGAAAATTTCTACCAATAATTTGTATTTATTTCATTCAAAAATATATACTGAACAAAATGTGAGCAGCAATAAAATTAAACTCAAAGTATTTTACAAGATATAAGAGTTTCCCCTAGGACTGCTTTAAGGAGATAATTTCGGCTTATAAATAGTTCTTAATTTCGGCAGTGCCGAATTTGCCGACCTGTTGTTTCTCCAAAACTAAAATGGAAATAAGCGTTTTAAATATTATGTATAGAAGAAATTGATTTTAGTAACTCAGATAATAGTAAACTAATAACGAGCTAGTAAAAAAGTGAATTTAGTTAGTGACACTGTGAAACTTATCAAAATAAGAGTTCCCCACAATATATTTTAAATTTATGTCATACATAACAATATGCATATAATAAATTTATAATTGTTATATACAATAATTATTATTGTATATAACAAATCATTTATTAATTATATACATACTGTTGAATATTATTGAATAATATACATATAATAATAATAATAATATATATACATTTATATAAATATATATATATATATATAAATATATATATATATATATATATATATATATATATATATATATATATATATATATATATATATATATATATATATATATATATATGTAAACATTATTTTACAGCATCATATAATGAGTTCAAAACGTGTAAAATATGGTAATTGGTCACAAGAATCATTAAAAATGGCAGTAAATGCAGTTTTAGTTGATGGTTGCTTGAAATATTCTGCTGCTAAACAATATAAAATACCAAGACAAACACTACATGTATATAAAACACACTATATAAAACGAGCACCTGTTGATAATTTTGTTAAAAAGTTACGTGCAGGACACCCAACAACACTCTCAGCTTTTCAAGAAAAAGAGCTCGTAGAAGTTCTTCTGACCATGTCACAGAGATTGTTTGGTTTGTCTCCAAAAGATGTAAAACAAATGGTATTTCAGTTTTGTGAAGAAAATAGAATTATTCACAAATTTAATTGTGAAACTAAGTCAGCAGGAAAAGAATGGTTTAGGGGTTTTTTGAAACGCCATAATGAACTCTCTGTCAGAGTTGCTGAGTCAACGTCATTGCATCGAGCCATTGGTTTTAATAGAATAAAAGTTAATCGTTTTTACGATGAACTAGAAAAAATAATGTTTAATGTTAATGGGATGCAGATTATTCCACCATCAAACTTATTCAACGTAGATGAATCTGGATTGTCTATTTGCCATAAACCAGGAAAAGTTGTTGCTCTTAAGGGAAAACACAGTGTTGGTGGCTTAACAAGCTCCGAAAGAGGTAAAACAATCACAATAGTTTGTTGCCAATCAGCAAGCGGGTTTTTTGTCCCTCCAATGTTGATCTATCCACGAATTCGAGTGAAACCTGAATTTTTAGATAAAGCCCCAATAGGTTCTATTTCTGGTGGCAGCAAAAATGGCTGGATAACAACTGAGTTGTTTGAAATATGGTTTGATCATTTTTTACAAGCAGTCCAGCATCAGTCAAGAAACCAACCAGTTCTTCTAATTTTAGATGGACATTCAAGTCATAAAAAAAATCTTAGTGTTATTAAAAAAGCGCGCCACTCAAATGTTATTATTTTATCACCTCCATCCCACTGCACCCACAAACTGCAACCACTTGATGTTTCGTTTTATAAAAGCCTCAAAATATTCTATGATCAGGAGGTTAGTACTTGGCTTCGTCACCATCCTGGTCGTCCTGTAACTGAACTAGAGGTTGGTGAATTATTTGGAAAAGCTTATGGGAAAGCTGCAACTGTTCAAAATTGTCAGTCAGGGTTCAAAAAATGTGGAATATATCCATTTGATAGAAATGTGTTTACTGAAGAAGACTTTGCTGCAGCCAAGGCTACTGATCACTCGTATATTGTCTCAAAAATTTCAAAACCAAATAATACCTCTGAAATGCACCCTACTCTCAACAATGGGTTAGACTCTGCTAAAAAATTAGATAATATTGATTTTGTTACAGATTGTGTTATTGACACTCAAAAAGGTAAATCGTCATAAATGTTGTATTATTTTTAACATCTTCTGAATTTTATTTAAAATACAAATATGATTTTTTTTCAAGCAAAATATTAACTTGTTTGTTGTTTTATTAACCTAAAAAAAGGTTTCTTAAAGAAAGTTCAAATTTTTTAAAAACATTTTAACTATTTTTTATAATTTGCATGTTGCCTATTTTTATTCACCCTCTTTAGTTAAATAATTTTTATTTAGAATCTATTTCACCAAATTCATCATTTACACTTCAGAAGTCATCAGAATTAGCCACCTCACACGATGAAACCTCGCAACCTTATGGTGTTACATTTGGATCACTAGCTAGACTTGACATTAAAAATGCAAAGCGAACAGGTATAAAAAGGAGGGTAAATCATGCCGAAAAAATTACTGGATCACCACATAAATCTCAGCTAGAGGAATCTTTAAACTTGAAATATAAGAACAGACAGCCACGTAAAAAGTGCATTAAAAAAAGTATATCTACTCATCAAAAGACGTGTTTGAAAAACCTTGATGCTAAAGGTGCGATTAATAAACAACTTTGTGCAAAGTGTCAATACAGCTATGGTGATCCTGTCGATCCTTATTTAAAAGATAATTGGGACAAATGCCTTAAATGCTGTAGATGGTGGCATGAAACATGTGCTGCTATATGTGGTGTTTATACTAAAAAAGTATTTACTTGTGATGACTGTACTGATTCTTAAAAAAAAAGTTATATGTCATATATTGATAAAATGTGTTTTAACTTTCTTAAATAAATCTCTTGTTAAAAAAATTTCCTTTGAGTTTTTTTTGTTTTTTTTTTAAGTTTAACTATTGAAGTTATGTAAAATATTATTTTATGAACTACTTATGAGCTTTTTAACATAAATTCTTATTTAAACAGAATTTAGAAATAATCATCGAAATCGTAACAATTAGTAATCGTTTCATTAACAATTATACTTTGGAAGCACATTTATATTTAATAAGGTTTCTGTTTTGGGTGACATTCATACCTTAATAAAAAAGGTGACATTCATACTTTAATAAAATAAATAGGTGGTTCAAAAATTATTATTTTTTGCAACTGAAGCGCCCTTAATTAAGTGCCAATTAGGTGTAACAAATTCTATTTAAGAGACAATTCTTTATACAATCCAGATTTATAGCTGTTTATAATATTTTAAATATATTAATGCGCTTTTAACAAACTTCTTAATTTTCATAACTATGCCGAATTTACCGTACCATAGTGCCGAAAATACCATACTAGGTCGCTAATTTCGTCATTTTTAAGTATTTTGTAAAACAGGTTTTACGTAAAACTTTGTAAGTTGGAAACAATTTTTTAACTATTATTTAATAGATATATCTGCAGTGTATCGATGTGCATGATTTTTTAACATTATTAAAGCAACCGTTGTCTATAAACAGCAAAATAGCTTAATACGCCGAAATTACCCTACTTTACCCTATATATATATATATATATATATATATATCAAGTACGACCATCACCAAATACCTGGTGCCTGGTCTGGCAAAATATTAGCAAAGAAGGGCAAATATTATAGGGCAAAGAAGGGCATTAAGACCATTTTTTTCATATACTTGATTTTTCTATGAAAATAAATGAATATTATGAAATTCCAGAACTTTTTTTTTACAGTGACAGATAACATATCTCTATAAGAGGCTTAGTATTTTATTCAGAAAAAAAAAAGTTTTGTATTGTGCCAAGACAGTTGAGAAGTTAAAAAAATAAAATCGCAAAAAAAAACAAGGGGGTGGGGAGCAATTGGACCAAGTATATTAAATGCATATATCTTTACCAAGATTTAGGGCTATAGTTAAAATATTATTTGGTAATTTAAATATCGTTCAGTTTTTGTAATTAAAGTGCCATCAACATTCTATAAAATGTCAAATGTGTCATATCACACCCATTTATCTTTTCTGTCTTTAAATAATACCGAATCTTTAATGCCGCACTGTAGGATACGGTACAATAGAATTACGACCAGGAATAAAATAACATAAATGTAAATCTTTGTTCAAGAGAACATAAATGTGTGATAATTCTCCAAAAAAAATCCTCAACAATTGTAGCCCTGAAAGGTGTACTTATGGGCCTATTTAAATATAATCTCTGTCTATATAAATATAATCTCTGCCGACCTTGGTTATTAAGCCTCCTCAAGGCAACGAGCTGGCAGAAAATAAATCACATAACCAGTTTATATCAAGTGAACTCTTCAAGTCTTTGTCGGTTTGACTTTTATCTTTTCTTTTTATTGTATTCAAACCTGATAGGGTGATTTAAAAAGGTTAAAAAAAATGATTAAAAATTACATTTTTGTGACTGAATTTCTCCTAGCAAACTCAAAATTTGTAGGAAATAAAGCGTTGTAACACTTTATTTTCTTTTATTGTAATTCTTGTCTTAGTCGAGAGAAATGCTGGTGGTAATGGCATTTTTTAATTAGAAAAGCGCAATAAAAACGAAGTGAAGAAAATAATAAATAATATTGTTCTGATAAACTCTTAAATTATAGGTTTCATGTTTTTAATTTAACGTTTATAAAGTTTTATTAATTTCGTAATTTAAGCTAACTCTTACATTCGAAAATACTTTCAAAACAAAAGAACATTTTAATTGCTTTTTTTAATACACAATATGCGAGTGACGTTTTTTACTTAATTTGTTAACGTACATAAAATACAAGTCGTTATTGAAATATGTTATTGACTTATACTGAAGTCCGTTTTTCAAAACACCTTGAGGTAAAAAAAATCAATTTTTACCTTTTTTACAAAATATGCTAGTTTAGATGTCTACAAACGTTATTTAACACATATTTTCAAAGAGTTCAAAAAAAATACATAAAAGTTATTAGTTTCAAAAAGCGTTTTATTCTTTTTTAAATTGCTCTTTTCTCGAAATACATTAAAGTGTTTTGAAAAACAATATTGAATTGATTTATCATATAATCATATAACTATTGAATTTTAGTTTATTTATAGCAATTATATAATAAGTGTTTCAGAAATAGACAATCTTCGACAAGAAGCAGAAGATTTAAAGAGACAAATCAGCGATGCACGCAAAGTTGCTCAAGATACAAATTTTTTATCGGTTACTCAAAATGTAGATCAAATAAGCAGAATTTGAATGCGAACTAGAAAAAAACTGTGTGGTCATACTCGAAAAATTAGTGCAATACATTGGCATTACATACAAATGTAATTCAATTGAATCTTGTGCTACACTTACTAATTTCCTTAAGGAATTTACTAAGTGTTGCACAAGATGGCAAGCTAATTGTTTGGAACACCTACTCAAAAAAAAAGGTTTATGCTTTTCCGTCTCGAGAAACAAATTGTCTAATGACATGTGCATATGCTCAGTCTGGAGATAATGTTGCTTCTGGTGGCGCCGACAAAATTTGTACAATTTACAATTTAAAAACAAAACAAAATATTAAAATAACACGGAGTTGTACGGACATACAGGTCATGTAACTTGTTGCAGATTTTTAGATGATGCTCAAATTTTAACAAGTTCTGCAGATAAAACTTGTTGTTTGTGGGACATTAAACTGGACAACAACTAGAATCATTTATTGGTCATACTAACGATGTTACGAGTCTATCTTTTTGCAATGATATACGTGACGACTGTTTTCTAAAACTTTTTTTATAAGCGGACGACTAAAAGATGTTGAAATTGAAAGAGCTCACCGCACTGTACAAAAAAACAATGGATGACCAAGGACTATATTAATAAATCTTCAGAAATATAAAGACAAAAAAAGAATATTAAAGGAATTGTATCGACTCAAAGGCACAAATACGTTCGTGAACAAAGATTTTTCTCAAGAAACCGTCGCTATTCGAAAATAATTGTTTGCTGAAGTGAAAGAAAGGCGATTAAATGGTGAAAGTGTTACGGTAAGGTATGACAAAATTTTTTATATTAAAACTTCTTTTAAAAATAATTTTAAAGAATAATTTAATGGGCATTCCTAAAAAGAAATCTTAAATAAAATATATTAATCATGGCTACAAATAAAAACTTTGAATCTCGTGTTTTTAAAATTCAAAAAACAAATTACTCTACGTTAAATGAAAATTTAGACTCCGATTACAATATTTATCACAATAAATTTTCAGATTGTTCTTATTACTTTCCTAGCCAACTAGAAGGGTTTTTTTTTAAGAAAGAGAATGAAAGAAAAATTAATCAAATGTTAATTCTCCACCTCAATATAAGAAGCTTAAATAGCAATTTTGAAAAACTTTTAGACTTATTAGAAGAAACTGAACATGTTTTTAATATAATTTGTTTAACGGAAACTTGAATTTCTTTAGAAAACCTAAATAATTTTCATCTACCTCATTTTAATACATTTTTAATGGAAAGGAAAACAAATAAGCGCGGTGGAGGAGTTTTAATTTATGTTCAAGAAAATTTTAAGCATTGTTTTAGGCATGACTTAAGCGTTTCTGACTGCGATAAAGAAATTGCAACTATAGAAATTACTAACTGCAACAAAAAAATTTTTTTTACTAAGCTGTTGTTATCGGCCACCTGATGGCGTAAGCGAAAACTTTAGCATGTTTTTACAACAAATTATTAAAAAAGGTACCGTTGAAAAAAAACAAAATTTTATAATTAGAGATTTAAACATGAACTGTTTTCTTTATAATGATAACCTTAAAGTTAAAAATTTTTATAATGAAATTTTTGAAACGGTTTCAGTATCTTTAATAAACAAACCTACAAGAGTAACGACAAATTCAGCAACTCTAATAGATAATATAATAACTTCAGATATTTTCAACAATGATTTAAAAGTAGGTATTTTGCGAACCGATGTATCAGATCATTTCCCTATATTCCTAAAATTAGATAATGCAAACTCTGAAAATACTTTAACTGCACAAAGAGTAATTAGAAAACGCATTTATAATGAGGCCAACCTTAATTTATTCAAAAATCAACTTTTATTTTTACACTGAAATAACATAAATTTTAATGATAATGCTAACAATATCTATGAGTTTTTTTTCAAAACATTTTTTTCTGTATACGATGCTAACTTCCCAAGCATTGAAAATAAAATAACTACTAAGAGCTTAAATACACTAAGGGCTTAAAAAAATCGTCCAAAATTAAGAAAAAACTATATATAAATTTTTTGAAAACAAAAACATCTAAAAACGAAAAAATTTACAAGGACTATAAAAATCTATTTGAAAATATTTGCAGAAATCTAAAACAAAAATTATTACTCCCAATTACTCAATTCATTTAAAAATGACACAAAATGCACATGGCAAATAATGAATGAAATTATTGGAAAACAATAATCATGCTCAGGTTTTCTGCCACAAATGGTTAGAGTCGATAACAAAAGTTTATAGGAACCAGGAACTATAGCTCAAGAATTTAACAAATTTCTTATCGATATAGGTCCAACACTTTCTAAAAAAATCCTAAAGACCAAATCTTTATTTACTGATTTTCTAGTACCCATTGATAATTGCATTGGTTCAGTTGAGTTGTCTTCTGAATTAATGTTTGAAGAGTTTGAAAGAGTCTTCAAATCTTTAAAAAAAATTAAAGCAATTGGAGCAGATCAAATGAATGGAATCGTTATTATAGATTGTTTTGAACAGCTAAAAGTTGTTCTTTTTAAAGTTTTTAAAGCTTTTATCCATCAAGGTGTTTTCCCCGAACTGTTAAGAAT